AGTCAGTTTATCGAAATAAAGATACACCTTAGGATTAACTATATTAACAAACTTAATTTCCTTAAGATATATCTGTACATCCAAATCAAGGCTTTTAAACCTAAGACTATTAAAAATAACTTCAGGACAGCTAATCTAATACCTTTTTTACCCAATCAAATACTCTTAAAGCTTAATATTTATCTTCGAACCCTAATACCCCTAATAAGCTAAAATAGTAAATCAAGCCAAAATTTTACACCAAAAACTCCCTATATAAAGAAAGAACTACGTTGATAGGCTTCATTAATTAAAGCTTTACTTTATATACAATCTTATAGTCCACCTAGCCTGTTAGATTGTGTATTAAACCAGCTTATAAAAGACTTCCAACTCCAGATACAAAGTCATATTCTACAAGCGCAAGAAATTAAAGAATTACACACCACCAATAAGAAGCAGAAGCAAAAATAGACTCAGTCGACTAGGCAGATAGCTCACAAAGACAATATCTCAGTTCAAGAAATTCATAAGCTACGTACAGAGCCATTTAAGGCCCAAGTAGCCCATATCAATACCTATCGTAAACAGGTTTCAGAGGGTTTACAACCACCTACGCGGGGCCAGCAAGGATATGGAATATATAGGAAGCCAAGACATAGAAGAGAAACATACCCAGATAGAGAATATAGCTAGTTAAATTAATTTAATGGCGTTTTGGTTAAGAAAAATGCATTTAAAATAGATATTGTATGGTAGGTGCATCACTCGCTTACATACGTCACTCGCTTACCGAACACGTTAGCTTAGTCTATATTCTATAAATCAAAATAGAGCTTATAATTAGAAAGATAAATAGAGATTATCTTTTAAAAAGATACTAGAAGATAAGTAGATCCCTCTATAGCTATAATCTTATTTTCTTTGTTTTAAATAGATATAGTATTACTAATAACTACTATAGTAGTACTATTATTTTAAACTTTATATATCTAGTTAAGAATTAACTAAAGCTAATATAAATTATTATAAATTCTATAAGGTATCTAAGATAAATTAATACTAAATTAAATATAATCTAAAGAAGAACCTTATCTAAAAATAATTTTTACTATACTCTTTATATAAAGTATAAGTAATTAAATTTATATAATCCTAGTTATAATAGATCTTAAAAATAATATCCTTAGGAGAGTAAAGAGCTATTTTAGTAATATATCTAATATAGAATATAAAAGAAGAGTAAGTAATTTAATTATAAAGAGGATATAAACTAATAGAAATACTAGTAATACTTCTATTACTTCTATTAATCCTATTATCTCTATTACTATTATTATTATCTCTACCTTTAGCCTAATCTTTATCTTTAGTTATATAATAACTACTATAGTAAAGAAGATTACTAAAAATACTAGAAGTAGTAGTTTTAGATATATTAAAAAGAAATAAGATAAAAATAGAGGGTAAGAAGATAAAGAGTTAAGAATTAAAAGCTAAGAAAAGGGAAAAGATAAGAGTTAAAAAGATAAGAGAGAAGCTTTTATCTTAAAGATATTAAAGAACTTATATTACTTTATTTATATCTATATATAAAAATACCTAAAATAGTATTAATCCTAGAATCTTTATTTAATATAATACTACTAGATATAAATTATTTAATTAAATATAAGTTATATAAATAGTTAAATCAATTATTATTAAAAGGAGAGGATAAATTATTATAGGATTCCTGAATCCCTTTAGATATAATTTAAGTACAATTTATAATTATTTTGTAGGTGAATCTACTATAATATACCTACTAATATATAACTACCCTAAGTCCTAGTAAGCTCTAGTAATATTAAAATATACAAATAATAGCTACGATTCTTGTCCTGCAAGAATTAGTTCTATATATCAATTGTTCTATTTGATCTCTACCATCCGATATCCTTGCCTAGTCATAGGTCTCTAGCCTGACAACTTAGTAACCATTATAGATAATAAGAGGATGTATTCACCAGCTATCTGCAGCAATACATTCTACAACTATAACTTTTTCTCCGTGTTTATTACTTGTAAGCTATTATAATTTATTTATTCAGCTAGAAAATACTTACTAAGTTCTTCCTTATCCAATATAAAAGCTAGTTTTATCGAAATTGTAAATTAACTGTAGGTGTATACTATCTAGGGCTTTAGCTAATAAATCGTACTAATAATATAACATTAAGATATCTACCGCTCCCAGACGTTTTAAATTAACAATCTTTTGCCTTCTAAGCTTCATTTCTGTATCAGGAAATCGTTTAATATAACGATAAACCCAGTCTTTTCCGACCGTCCGATCAGGTGTTTTTGATCGAGTAAGGGTAGTATTAGCCCATTATTCTATAATATTTAGTGTAGGGGGTATAAAAGCTGTATCTATAGCCTATATCTAATACCCCAAAGCCTTTTCTTGTTGTACGTTCAAGACGTAATTCGATGGTTTAACATCTATTTTTGGCTTCATGTTCTGTTTTACATGTCTCCAAAGAAGCTTGTAATCAACGCCATATTCCTTAGAAATGGCGGACAAATTCGGCTTTTTGAGGCTTCGGGCGTATTTAATGGCCTGATTTACACGAGATACCTCGGTTTCAGTAGGTTTGGCTATAGTTAAGGAAGTCTTTTTAAACAATATAATAAAATTCAGAAAATTTTCCATTCCGGTGAGAATTTCCATTCCGCTGCGGGACACCAAATGGGGCGACCCCATTTGGTGTTCTGCCGCGTAGCGGTGTAGGCACGGCTAGTTTTTTTTTTTTTTTTGATTCAACGTTGATCAATACTGATACTTAGATTTTTTACGGGAATGGATGGATGGATGATTGATTTCCAGCCGACACGCTTGTACACTTCAGCACTCTCCAGTAGCTTATCAAAATTTGAGCAACCTCATTAGGCCCCTCATCATTGTGAGTTCCGAGTTATTTTCACCTCCATCATGTTCATTTTTCAAGGCCCTCAGTTTAGGGATTCCGGTCATAAATTCTGTTGGAAATCAATCAATGATAGTGTAATTTTTTTTGTCTTTTCTCTTTTGTCTCAATTAATTAAACTTACCGCATTCATCGTCAATGACAGTATGTGTTGAATATGGAAAGACAGTAGCGGGCGGTGATACCACAAGGAAATTTCATTGAGTGTTCGTTACAAAAAGTTGAAAAAGTACTGTTCAACGTTGATTAAACCCCCTGCAGGTACTAGATATTTAGAAAACATTACACGTACCTCTGGATCATGTGCATTTGCTTATAGTTTGCCGCACCCGAATCAAACTAGAAATGTTTTTCACCTTCATCCTTGATGCCTGATTTGTTAGGCTTTACCAGACTTTTTGAGAATTGCTAATACCACCCCTCAAATGGCTAAACCCACCCCTTCTAAGCCGCTTTGGGAAATTCTGCCGTATTTGTAATATGAGCCCTTAACAAGGCGGTGTAATTTAAAATGGGCGGTCAGGCGAGGTCCAGGCGGATCCCAAGCTTATGGGAGCAGCTAGGTGCCGTTGAAGATGCTGTAGATCGTGAGTTTTATGAGCAATGGTCCCAACAAGGCTCACAGCAGCCAGCAACTCAGCAATCGCGGAGGAGACCCGATACGTGTGGAAATTGGGGCGTGGAGGGGCATAAAAGGCCTGGATGTCCGCAGATCAACAGATTTGCCAGTTAATTCGACTGAAAATGCATTTTCCGGTGTTTTTAAAATCAGCCCCTGTTTCCTCTTTAGGTTAAGCTTGGAATGAGATAACTTGCTTGCATATTAAATGTCGTTAAATGTGTGGTAAAATGGAAGCTTTTTACGTGGAGATTTAATTTAATTCTGGACCGTATTCATGCTGCCGGCAGAAAATTGATGCCTTTGTGCCTCGTGGTATTACAAATACGGCGGTGAGCTTAGAAGGGGTGGGTTTAGCCATTTGAGGGGTGGTATTAGCAATTCTCGACTTTTTGCCTAAAATAATTTCAGCCGCTGAGCAGAGGGGTGAGCAAGGGTAAGCAGATAAGTCGCACCCTCCCCCTCAACAGTCGACCATCATCCTTACCAAAGCTTTCCTCCATTAAAGTTGACTTCTCTTCGCAACATAGCCCAAAACCTCCCTTCTCAAAGTAACCCCTTTGTTTGTCTTGTTTGCAGGGTCAACATTTGGCATTCTATAGGTCCCGAAGACCATACAAGCTTAATACGGAAGGTATTCCTATGCTGTTATTTACAAGTATACAGGAATACTGCCAAAAAACGGGGTCAGGGGAAGGGTAACCATAAGAGGAATAGCGTGTTTCGAAAGAGGGTTCGAGAAAGAATCTCTGTGTGCAAATGGTGAAACTGATTTCGATCCTCCCTGTACCGTAAATCATGATTCGTCCTAACGTATGAAAACTGAGGGGTCAATATACAGCGTGGGAAAGCTGCTAGGCACCTAACGGTAAGCGCTCAGTCTAAGCGCCCATGGATGGCACCACAGTACCACACCGATTAATGCATCAAGCCACAGCGTCAAGGAAGAGTTTATAGTGTTTATTTATAGTAACGAACATAAAGCTTTGACGATATAATGCATTCGAATCTCCCCAGCAGCTCACACAGGTAACGGCAATCACATCCCAAACTCCTCTGCAAGTCATTAATATCCAGTTACATGCAAAAGGTATTGCCCATAATGATTAGGAAGACAGGAGGGTGTACAGCTAACATAAATGCATGAAGCAGACTCCGAATTGGGACTAGAGCTTCTGATATTCAAAATGACCGCAAGTTCCGGCCAAGTTGGTTCTTGCTCAAACTCGAGATGTGGCCATTGGAACAATGAGCACAACACCTACAAGTGCAAGGAAGCAAAATGTCGCAAGAGATGGAAGATCTGTCAAACCGGCGATCATGGCGACTCAGGGGTATATGCGATCTGTGCCAAATGTCCCGACCACCCAGCTGGCGGCCCAGACGGTTTCCTCGAATACATTGACCTTACGGTCTGAGTTGATCCGAAACTATTCGATGCTTTCAAGCCAATTTTCAACGGGCATTATCTTTGGGCATTTTTGTGTTTCCAAGTCTGATTCCATATCATCGGCCTCTTCTTCGTCAGTGCCCTCTAGATCCAGCCAAGAATGTTGGTATATATGTCTTTCGTTACGAGAGTATCCTGTCGATCTTAACCATTCAAATATCCCGCGAGTGGCTCCTTCAGAAAGGGATTGTGAATAGTAATCATAGTTATAATCTTCGAGTTTGGCCAGTTTCCCATTAGCGGAAAAAGCTGATGCCTGAACAGAAGACTGACTAATTTCTGCTTCGGAGTATTGAATTGAACCATTGTTTGTCAAAATCCATTCCCAATAGTCGTATTTCAAGCAGTGGGAGTTACACCTAGCATGCTTTCGGACTGGGAGCTCTGTGTCATCAAGTTGTGTAAATCCGAAGGGCTTCCAAGGCCAGACTGGAGGTCGGTCATGACCTTCGCAGGCTGTGATGAAAAGGAGCCGACATTCGTCGTCGCGTGGTATCAAATCGCTATAGTTGGTCTCCAATTTTAAAGTCAGGAACGTCTGTGTTGTTCCAGTCCACGCAGAAGCTGGAAGATCCAAAGCAGTCATTCCTGCTCGTATGTCTCGCAGAACCGAGCTCGCCGTATTTGTGAGGATCGCGCCAACCCAGAGTATACCGAGTCGAGGAAGTCGGTTTGCTAATAATGTAGCCATTGAACTCTTATTTTGGATCGAGTCAAGAACAGCAAAGGCCGGGTTCAGCCAGGCACTGACGAGATTGCACTCAATATCTGCATTGAAAAACGTACTGCACAGTAGAGAGCGCAAACCCCATGCGTTGGAACTTAATGTCATATACTTTGGCAACAATTCGCTATGCTCTTTCATTAGATTTGGGATAGAGACAAAAAAGTCACTAGCACAATTCTTTCGTTTGAGCGAAGAAACTGGTTTTGGAACCGGAAGGGAAACCGTTCTTTTCCTCAGAAATGGAATGTACAGTACCCCGGCAAGGGCAACTGAACACTGAGCATATAGGTAATGATGCACACAAAAACGATTCAGGTATTTAAGAGCGGTCACCGAGTCCGGTAGATTCAACTTGGCACTCGAAAATCTGTTTGTGGGCAACCTTAAACCCGCATGCTTTGCCGAGGCTGACCATGGCGACAAATAAACACGACCGTTGTATTTAGCGGTCGCATCCCAACCATCGCCAGAAAATAAAATAGTCCGCCACCAGGAGACTTCTTCTTCACATACATAGTCACCGATGTCAATTTCAACCACGGGTTGGTTATCCGGTTGCGGCGATGAATTGTTCGTCTCCTGTGTAGCAAAGGCCATAGAACATTCATGATCAGCAGAGCGACCAAGCAACTCGACCCATCGAGCAGATAGGATATATGCCCATGCCAGGTAAAGAACTGACAAATAGTTTCCCTGGTCATAACCTGAGAGTCCCTGGACTCCAGGCCAGTCTGAAAAGGGAGAGTCTTCTGACAACCTCACATTCAATGGACTGCTAACTGCCAAAAGAAGCTGTTTGGGCATAACCCTTGGCTGTGAATCACAATTCCCTTCGGAAGTTTTCCAAGTTGATCGGCCATTAACGAGAAGATTGCCATCCAACTGAGTTGATTGTTTCTCCTCGCAAGCAAACGAGGTAGTCTTGTCCCAGCTGGCACGCTCATTGCCGAGGAAAGGTGGGGTTTGAATGACGAGTGGTCTGAGGTCTATAGCATGGCGGGGTAAGAGGCAATTCTCGCTCTGGGAGCCGAGATAAGAAGACCATGTCTTCATACTCTCCTCAAGAGCCTCGTTGAATTTATCATCACTTGGGCGTACAGCATCGCTCATAGTTACACGGCACAAGTTAGGAAGGGAGCGTAGCTGTTCAAGACTCAGGCGTAGTAATCGAAGGATAAAATCGCTTTTGTCTCTCCGTCAAGATCAAGAGAGGGTGGATTGGAGAAGAGGAAATCAGGGGGTGAAATTAAAGGAAGAAAACCAAAAGATCCATTGAAGGAGCCAGGGCGAGCAGTCTACCGATTGACTATTGTGAGTTTTTGAGCGGCATAGTCAGACGGCAAAATGCGTGGAGATAATCTTGCAGCATTGGCCATAAGAAGAGCCTTCTCACCTATGACTGGCGTAAACGAAGGCTGCGCTGGGGAAAGGAGTTGACTGGGCCTGGCGGCAAAGGAGAAAGCAGGTATGCACCTTGTTTGCTCTTATTGAGCGGTGAGCTCAGGTGACGGTGAATTACCAAATACGGTTTAGCGCTTCCAATATAGGCTTAGCGCTTATGGGCGTCAGAGCATCGCCGTGATTGCTTCTCTCTTCATCGCCGCGACAGTTTTTCGCCGTCATTTCGCCCATTTTTCCTGCTTCCTTACCGTCTGGTTCCATCACAGCTTACTAGAACCACTCAAGGTTCGCTTATGCGTAGTTGAGCACTGTGCTTCCTAGCATGGTTGGTGTTATTTGCAGGACGTGGGAAATCTACATACGTAATTAGCTTGGTTTTTTTTGATACTGTAGTTGTATTGAAAAGACAGCTTCCTTGAGATCCTGGGACCTGCGCACCACACTACAGACATGGATGTCGAATGGAAAAGGTTGCTACGGGAGCGCCTAGGTGAAGCGCACGAAAAATGCCAAGGCATTCCGGACAGATATGTACAATCTCAGACAGCATCCGAATCTAGACGACAAAGGTCAAAAACCTTGAAGGAATTGACTTCGAGTCTTCCGTAGTACGAGTGGCAGGCGATCATGCCATATCGCCTGAACTATACGTGAGTAAAAGTACCCTGCACTCTGCTTTTGAGGTGGTATCCGTTTCGATCGCCGCTCTTACTCTCTTTAGCGCTGTCCTTTTGAATACGTAATGTATGGGGAATTCATTGGAGCCAATTTCATTTTATTTGGCTGCGTCCCCAATTTTTTTAATGTGATGGGTAAGAGGTCTCCTAGTCAGCATTTATGTAAGGGAGGAATGACTCCAAAGTGGAGCAAACAGTAACAGTAAGCGAGCCAATCAAATTTTGCGTCAGCGGCTGGCGAGAATGACACTACTACTGTTTGTTTTTAAACCACATTCGTTCCAGGACCTATGACCTAGCAGATCTCAAGGCCAGATGCACATGCTCTGCCCAATGCTCGTCCTTGATTCTATATACTATTAAAGGCGATTAATTGGCTTTATGGTTTCCTCTCACCACACGAACGGACTTATAAAATATAGAATCGTCAATATTTTGGTGAACTTTTGGGTTTTGCCTTATACTGTAACACTGATATAATCATCTTTGTGTGTATTATTATTACTCAAATCGCAGTTGAGACCAGAGCCGCAATCAGATAAAAACAAACTGCCCCACAAGAGATACAGTGATATTCGAAATCATAGAGCCCCACTTTTCCCTATTGGGCTTAGTTCCCAGCATACTATGTAGAGACCTGCTGTACGCACACCCCCTTTTGCTGGATGCACACCGTATCCCTTCCAAATTAGGTATAGCGCGTATTCCCAATACGATCCTTCTTTGCCCCTCCCGTAAGCCATCTATAATTCTGCCGGCCCTAACCCTTGCATCTGAACAAAAAAAAATCACGTTATATTAAGCTAAACTAAAATAAGAAACTGATGCTGATTTGTTAAAACCCCTAGAAACGCGTTTTCTCACTGCTGCTATCTTTTTTTGGCTGCCGCAGCAGCTTTCTCAGTAACTAAATCTTCCCGAAGTGGTATAACTTATCGCAACGGGTCATATTATGACAAACCATTTTGCGGCAATTCAAGCATCTCTGCAACCTCCCTTTCTTTTTTTGCCCTTGCTGAGATATCTGGAGCTCTCTCTGAAGTTCTCTCTGAAGCTGACTATCCGCAGTTTCCTCGTATAGCCGAAATATCGGAAATATTGCAGTTGCGGAAGAGTGGAATAGACTCGGCTTCGGCAGCCATTTCCGAGAGGAAGAATGATCCAGAGTAGTTGAAAATCGCAGAGATAGTGAAAAAGATAGAAAGGAATTTTCTGTAAAAGATTGAGTTTTTTATTGGATTGAGAAGACCTTTTGATAGCTGTTGATTGTATTTGTTGCTTATTATCTTACAGATTTTAGCATACCCATAATACGAAAACAGCACTATACTTGATTGGGAAGGATACGGTGTGCATTCAGAAAAAGGGGGTGTGCGTACAGCAGGTCTCTACTATATAGCCTTGATGAGTCATGAAAAATTACTCTAAGTAGTATATACACGCTTCCGCCTACAAGTATTATATTGCTTAAAAAAGTGTACAGCGAAAATCGAAAACAGATTCCCCTCTAAACACATACATTGTTTCTTAGCCCTTCTCCGAACCAACTCAATACATATACATAAACAATAACTAGTTAGCTGTATCTATATCTTATAATATATTACATCTATTATTAAAGAGTTATTGTACAAGGATACTCGAAATTAGTTTTATCTCTTTCTCCCCTTCGATTTATTCTTAAACTCTATTCTAAAATACACTAGTCTGTTTTTAATTTAGCTTTTCGTAAGATAGTAACACCTACTTTATATAAAGTTATATAATTATTTTCTTATATTATACTTGAAATAAGTATATCCCCCTAAAGTTTTCGCGTCTCTCTTATCCTTAATAACGGGTTCTCTTTCTATAGGAAAAAGAGAAGAGTAAATTTACTAGAGATATATAGCTACTACTAATTCTAAAAAGATAAAGAGAAGGAATATAATATTTACCTTAAACCAAATATATAATATTAGGATATTAAGAATACTAGCTCCTCTTAACTTAATTAATTACTAGATTATAGGATATACTACTAGTTAGTAGGACTAACTTCAATACTTTCTAAGCATCTATATAATTAAAATACTATTATAGTAACTTATATATCCTATAATAGCCCTAACTTAAGACTTTAAGTTAGATAGAACCACAACTATATTATAGTATATTTTTATAGATAGAGGAAAACAGAAAATACATAGCTCTAACAGAATATAACTAATTAGTAAAATAGCCTTAGTATAATTAGAAATATTATTAAATTAAGCTTATTTATAAGATCTACGAACAACAAACCCTTATAATAATAAAGACTATATTAAAAAGACTAATAAAGGGTTGCTAAAAGACTTATATAGTCAAAGCCCACTAACGGTACGGCGGCCTATGGTACAATCGCGTTTAGGGTACATAATTCGCTTGGATGGACCCACTTTTCTTGATTTTTATATATAAAATGTTCACTTATGGTAAATTTATCTTGGTATACCCCTTTTTATCCTATCTTTATTGAGTTATTTGCTTGGTTAGCTAAATTAACTAATTAGAATGTCTAAAACCTCTGATCTTCTATCTCTACTATATATTAGATTAGCTACTAAGGTATCTTCTATACTACTATTACTAAAATATACCCGATTAGGTATATTAGATACCTAGAAGTAGGTATTATGTGCCTTTTGGACTAATACTTGTCTAAAACTGATATAATCTGCTTATGTAGCTTGGTTCGAGTCCTAATTTGATTATAAGATTAGTTGTGTATTGGTCTTAAGAATTGTTTTATCCTGATATGATTATCTTAATATACAGTCTAATGGGGCTAGTATATGAAATTCTTTATTATTCTGGCCTATTCTAGACGAAAGGCTATCTAATTAGGTTAGTAGGTATATTAATAATGGGCTTCTAATTATAGGCTCTTTAATCTAGACTAAGGTAAATGAGCTTTAGTCCTGTATCCTAGAATATTAAAATTAATAAAAACCTGCTTTTTTAGATGGATGGCTTGCTTGTTTTAAAAAGCGGTATAATATTTGATATTATATCTTCTATAGAGAAGCTGCTTTGGTCCTATCTTCTATATATAATCAGATGAAAGAGATTTGTATAATATGTGACCAATATGAACCATCTGAGATATATAATATAGATAAAACTAGCCTATTTTGGTGATAAATGCTAAATAGGGGTCTCTCTGATAGAAAAATTGCTGGAAAAAAGAAAGATAAGACTTAAATCTCTTTTGTTGTAATAATAAATATAGATAGTTTAGACTAAATGTCTTTATAGGTAATTAGAATAGTAAAAACCCCTTGTGTGCTCCGGGGATATGATTTCTGGGGTTTAGGCTGTATATAGTACTAGAATAAGAAGGCTTAGATATATTAAGATATTATAAAGGAGTGGTTATATGCTTTTTATATATATATTCCTATATATAAGAAAGCATTGTTATTTTTTGATAATGCTTCTTTATATATTGCTGGTCTTAAGAAAGCCCTACTACTAAACTATATTAAGGTCCTATTCTTTCTAGTAAATATAATCTTAATTTACTAGCCTTTGGACTAGGGAATTATCTAAAATATTAAGTATTATTATTAGAAGAAATAGATAAGATAGATAATTGCTATTATTGATTAAGGTCTTGATCTAAAAGTTCGGATAAATATCTTCTATATGTTGTTTTGGATTACTTAGGTTTGGAAGAGCTTAGTATTAGATGAAATAATTAAGAATTGTTTTATTAAGAGTTCTTTGATTTATTTAAAGTAGAAGAATGAGATTAAAAGTAGAGATAGGACTAAAGTTAATTCTTAGCTATTTTTAGAGTTAGGGCTTAGTAATAAGATTAAAGCTTTATATAATAAATTAATTGAGAGGCTTAGCTATAATAATATTATACTATTTGATTAATTCTTGAATCCAACAGAGGAAGATATTGTTGAAAATAAGACTAATAGCTAAGATGAGACCAATAGTTAAGATATATATATTAATGCGGAGAGCTTAGAAGTATAAGATCTTGAAGAAAATGGGCTA